GCAAGAAGAACACGGTAAGTTCATACTGGACAAGGAGTTGAGACTACACTGTCATGTTTCTACTTTTCAAAGTGAAAATAAGCATGACAGGTGCTCATTTGGCTGTTCAAGCACTTTCCACTTAAATGGCAATTCCTCAAGCTTACCGACTGCAGCCTCAAGTTATAATTTATTACTGTTTCTCTATTATTCCCTTGCCTCGGCAGAAAGCAGAACACAGCACCTACACTTCAAGACCCATGAGAGGTAATAAAGTATAATTATTTAGAATTTATGATTAAGCCATAAATTATAGGTACTTTTTACTTCAGTTGGTCAGTCAAAGGTTGGGGGAGGAAGGGAAAGGGATCAGAGGAAGAAATAACAAAAGCCTTTTCCTTTGAACAAAATGTCTAAATCAGGGCAGGACTGAGGGACACCTGGAGGATTTACAAAGATACCACAGTCTCCAAGTTAAGTCCCAGAGGAGCCCTAGGCCTACAGGCCTCTGTTCTTCCTGCTCACAGGGCTACAGACTCCGACCAGAGTGCTCACGTTGACTCCAAAAATAGAAGCCCCGCCGGTTTTCCGGTTACACCACATCAAAACGTTCACAGTGCTCTGGGCCTTGCTGCCCTAAGCCATAGGTATCTCAAAGAAGGTGAACCTAATCCATAAAAGGCTACTGGTCAGGCTTTCTAAGTAAACTCAGCCTCCACCAAGGTAAGACTGTGGCTTCCACAGAGCTCCGATTCAACAATGGCCAGATGCTGGATCCCCTCACCCTCAAGAATCAACTGGTGAGATTTCACTTCCTTGTCGTTCCTTTATGTGGCTATGGAAACATCTATCTGGAACAGGTAGGTGCAAAACTCAGGGCATGAAGCAGGATAAGAACGCAACAGTCAGCACTCTCCTGTGACCCACTTGCCTCACTGATTCTCCAATGTGCCATGGCCCAGGTCCCACTCGTCACTCTAAGTCCCCACATTCAAAGGGTAGTTTGCAAAGCACTTTCCCACACACTTTCTTACTCGGCCTCACAAGAACCCTGGGAGGCAGGTATCATCAGCACTGGCTCTGAGGTGGAGGAGGAGACTCAAAGAGGCGCTAACGGTGAGGGGCCAATAGCCAACGCAGTGAGTCTGGAACCCCGTTACCTCAAAGAAAACGGCCTTTGCATTATCCTACCCTAAACTGTTGGGAAGGCAAAGCAAAACCAGAGAGAAATACTGTGCATTCCAATTTATACTGCTTTTTTCTTTTTTTGCTGTGGAATTTTTACTTGATAACTGAAGCTTTAAAATGCCTGATTGTTATAGTAAACAACAGATATTTGAAATGAGATTTAGTTGGATTTAAGGAAACAGAAGTAAAGAGACCAGATAGAACAGAGTCCTGAAGAGTGACACGTAAAAAATAATAACAATAAGTGAAGGGAGGATAAAAGGAGGTTTGCCCCAAACGTTTACAGAGCACTCACCTTTGTCCCGAACCATCCCACCTCCACACCAGCTCCTGGTTAATGAACATAACTGGGTTGATGTCCCTTGAACTGTATAATCTGTTCCACAAAAAACAAACCCACGGTTTGTCTCCAAGCCACTTTTAAGTCCCTAACTCCCTGGTTACATTCAGTCTATGGAAAACATCTGTGGCAAAGTAAATCATCGTACTCTGAGAAAGACCAGAGTGTACTTTTTTTTTCCTCTAAGTGTGTTTTGAAGTCCTGGTTGGAAAATTAGTGAAAATTGTAAATCTGTTTGCAAATCTGGTCATGTCTAACTGTGAGATTAGGGCAAAGATTCCAATTTAAAGGTAAAACCGCGACAACCCCAGTTAAGCGTATCCTCAGGCACTGCCAGCAGGGCCTTCACTCACTTCCACAGGCAGAGGATTTATTGCAGGCACCCGACACGCGCCCCAGCAGACACCCCTGGAGTATTTACTTGAGACAGCAGGGTTCAGTCTGTACTTCCTCTGCAGACCAATATATTATTATAAATTGAGCTAAACTGTTTCCTTTTCATAAGTGCTACGAAGTTCAGATTTCAGATATCAGCACCGGGCTGCGGTCCCTCCACATGGCTCCTTATGGTATTCGGATTTTAAAAAGTAAAGAGAAGAGGTAGGATCAGACCATGGTTGCTTTTATTTTTGTTTTGTTTAAGAGGTGATGGAGGAAAATTCATTTTAGAAATTGAATATGACACCTTACTAAGAAAATATATTCTAAATGAAACTTCGGGTACATTGTGCTGTGCTTGACCCAGTTCAGCAGGGTAGCAGCTATTTCATCTATATCTGAAGGCAGGAGTTGGGAAATCAGAAAGAGATATTCGATCCTATAAAATAATAACACTCACTTCTTGTTTATCACCTACAATAGCTAAGGGACCCAATGTATATTTAAAAATGTATATTCATTATAAAATATAAGTCAAAAGGACAATGTAATTTTAAAATATTTTTATTAATCTATTTCTGAGGCAAAAAAAAAAAAACTTTAAAAAGAAGCGGAAAAGAAAGAATCAAACAGAACATTGTCGTCATCTTCTTTTCCTCCCTTCCTGAACAACTTCGTCCTAAAGCCATCAGGTGAGGCAGAGGGATGCGGGTGAGGGAGGGACAGGAGGGCACGGAAGCCCAGAGCAGGGTCAGTGCCCGAGTGGGGGAGGAGGGCATCCACGTGGGGAGGAGGATGGCCTGACATGGGGTGTCAGAGCCTAAGTGGGATAAAATGCCAAGTTCCAACGCTTGCTTCTTACCAGCTGTGCAACCACGGCTAAGCAGCTGCGGCAATCTAACCTTCAGTTGTTCTTTTGCAACATAGTTAACATCCACTTCCCAGGGTTATTGAGAAGATTAAAACAAGTCTTGACTTGTTGTCAGTCTCCCCAAAATGTGACTGTTATTCACACTCTACTCTTATTCCAGACATATATATGTATAGAAAAAAAGACAAAGTCCATAACTAGGTGGTACATTAAAAAATGAAATAATAATCATTTGAGGTAACTCAAATGATGTTGAAGGATGGGGCGAAGATTTCAGAACAGGAACTCAGCCTGCGGCAAGCAGGGCAGGGGCAGGGGGAGAAGACTTGAACCCTCGAAACACTGCCATGTGGAGACTTCAGTGTACTGGGACCAAGTCCAAACGGTCCCTTTTGGGGTGGGAAAAGCATTGTATATGAAACGTGCAACCCATTCTGGTCCCTGCTCTGCCTCATACGAAGTGGCGTCAGGCAAATTACTTAGGAAAAGAACATTCTCTGCCCCGTCTCCTCACAAGGTTGTTTGGAGACTGAATGAGATTGCTTAAGTGAAACTGATTTATAAACTGTAAAGCAACACGCAAATGGAAGGCAAGAGATTTAGGGCTTATTTAGATTAGCGTTCAACAAATACAGGAGTCACTCCACCAGAAGAAGTTAAGAGGTAAAGGGACACAGCATTAAGTACCATCTAATCAACCAGGAGAAAGTAACGCCTGCATAATGACCTTTCAATCTCTCCTACATCACGGAGAAAGGCTCAGATTGGTACCACTATGTAGTTAACACCTCTCTAACAGTCACTAAACAAAGACGGAACTGGACGCAGACTCAGGGTCCTCAGCAAACAAAGGGAGCAGGCACTTAACACCGCTTTCAGTTCTCTCTATATTTATGAAACTCTTCTAATCATGCCAAGTGATACTGGTTTTCCATTTTAGACAGTGATATAAAATCTCCTAAAATAAATTCATTTTAGTCAAAGAAAAAAGTGAGTTTATTCAGAGAGAACTATCACATAAGTAATAGTGCAATAGCACATGGATATGAGAAGAACCTTGAAGCTGATGTGCGAATGACTGAAATTGGGAAAACACTTCATGAGATAACGGCCTAAAGAGCTATTCAAAACTCTGAATTCCTGGAAGGCAAGGACCAAGTTTTATCCATCTCCAACGTCCTCCAGAACCTTCCGCAGCACGTGGAACACGGTGGGCCCTCTACAAATACTCAGTTAATCGGGAAATCATTCTCTTCATAAACGCTGGGTTAAAGCCATGGTGCTTCCTGGCTCTAAAACCAACAGCAGCAGATTCCCCCAGGAGGTAAGAGTGGGATGAACTTAAAATTAAATAACTCTGAATAATCAAGAGCCAGAGCCAAGGAGAGAACAAAGACTGAGAAGCTTTTGAGTAAAAAAAGATACTGTTTGCACACTGTGCATTGAAAAACAAGTAGAAAGACCATAAACAAAACAAAAAACTGACAGCAAAGAAGCAAACAAAGCTCCACAAACCCCCCAGCTTTGGTTAGCCTAAGCACAGCTGAAATATTGCTTCCTGAAGAACCAAATGACAAGTGGAGAGAAAGCCTCGGTGTTAGGCCAGCTGCTCTTGAAAAGAAATTAAATGCAAAACTAGAAAAAACGTTCTCACTGAGAACTTATATAGACAGGGAAATATATTAAAAATTTCACACTGATAAGTTGATTTAGATGATTTAGTAGCTCTGATGAAGAATCCTGAAAACCGTTTAGCACACTTTGGGGAACTCCATGAACACAGAGAATGAAAAGAAAAGTAACTTTTAAAAATTAGCAGTATCTCGGGGCTGGCCCCGTGGCCGAGTGGTTAAGTTCGCGCGCTCCGCTGCAGGCGGCCCAGTGTTTCGTCAGTTCGAATCCTGGGCGCGGACATGGCACTGCTCATCAGACCACGCTGAGGCAGCGTCCCACATGCCACAACTAGAAGAACCCACAACGGAGAATACAGAACTATGTACCGGGGGACTTTGGGGAGAAAAAGGGAAAAATAAAATTTAAAAAAAAAAAAACAAAAAAAAAAAACAAAAAAAAAAAAATTAGCAGTATCTCCATGAAAAAATCTACTTACGTACATATACAAGTTTCATTATCACTATAAAATACTTGAAAAGTTTATTTCAAAAGACGTATTCAAAATATACACCCAATAATCTAACACTTAAGACACTAGAGCATCATTATAGTTCTAATCCTCCTAATTACCCAGCATAAAATAGCAGTCTCCTTGGTGAAGGGGTATTGCCAAACCAGGCGTCTCTATGTCCCACGAGATCTTGAAACCAACATGCCAGATATCAGGATCTCTGCCTTCGAGTTGAGGATCATCCTCACTTTCCTCTTCAGGGCCTGTCAAAAGAGAAGAAAGTGATCAGAAAGGAAATATTTCATTTAAGTTCTGGGTGTTATAATAGTTACGTTAGGAGTAATTGAAGTTTTACTAAAATATGGATGCTATGAACTATATCCTCCTTTATGTCATATTTTTAAAAAAAAATTCTTTAGACTATTTTTAACACATCATTTATTTTTTAATTTAAAAAAATCTTAAAATGGTTAGGAAATTATCACAGATACCAAGAAAAATAAAAGAAGATTATTTTGTTCAATTGCATGCAAATAAATTAGAAAATCTGGATTAAATGCATAGATTTTTAGGAAGATATTAATTATCAAAATTGACCCCAGAAGACGTAGAAAAGCTTAAATAAGCCACAGAAGGTCTAGAGGAAGTTGTCAGAGAACTCTCTCTGAGGAAAACAGGGGCCCACAGAGTTTCAAAGGAGAATTTTACCAAATTAAGGAGTGGTAATTTCAATATACTTTAAATTGTCTAAGAGCATAGAAAAAGAAGTTCCCAAATTCTTTTCACAAAGATAGAGCAATATGTATCTACATCCAAAAAGAACACACACACACACACACAAATATCACATCTGAAAATCAACGCAAAACTTCTAAATATAAGGAAATAGAACCCAAATCCAGCAGAATATTAAAAGAATAACATCCCATAACCAAGTAAAACTTATTCCAGGAACACAAGGATAGTTCAATGTATAAAACCGTAATACTTAAAATTCATCAAATTCAGAGATCAAAACAAAACAAAACAAAAATCCAGAGTCACCTGAAATACACAAAAGTATTCAATAAAATACAGGCTTTCATGATAAAAACCTCAATAAAACAGGAACAGATGGCCAGTTCCTTACCATGATAAAATACTCACCTATCTCAACCCCAAAGCCCGCATCATATTTTAATAGGGAAACATTAGAAACATTGCCAAAGTTAAGCATTAGCAAATAATGTCCCTTATCATGACAATGACTCATCATTATTCTGGTGCCTTCTGGAGTTGCATAACAGAGGAGTCCTCATTAGACAAAAGAAGAAGTAAAAGATTTTTTAATAGGAAAAAATATTTTTTTGCAAATGATATGATTATTTATCGGCAAATCAATCAGGAAAAATATTTCCCAAGCAACAGGCCAGTTAAGAAAATGTTAGCTATAAAAGTATGCATGTAAAAATATCTAGTAAGATTCTTACATTTGCACTGTCTACATGAGGAAAAACTTTAAAATATTATTGAAGGAGACAAAAGAAGATTTAAACAAATGTAAAGACATATTATGTTCTTGGGAGATAAGACCGAACATCATGGAAATGTCAGTTCTCCCTAAACTCATCTACAAGTCTGACATAAACACAATAAAAATACCAACAGGATTGATTTTTAGGTGAGTGGGGTTGGTAACCGGACATGATGATTCTGTAACTCACATGGAAATATAAAGAAGGAAGCATAGCCAGGAAATTTTTTTTTTAACATAATAAAGAGCTCCTACACATCAATAAGATAAAGATCAATAATTAAAAAGAAAAACTGGAGCCAGCCCCACGTCCTAATGGTTAAGTTCAGTGCGCTCTGCTTTGATGGCCTGGGTTTGGTTCCCAGGTGCAGACCTACGCCATTCATTGGCAGCTATGCTGTGGTGGCGACCCACATACAAAATAGAGGAAGATTGGCACAGATGTTAGCTCAGGGTAATTCTTCCTTGAGCAAAAAGAGGAAGACTGGCAACACATGTTAGCTCAGGGCAAATCCTCCTCAGGAAAAAAAAAAAAGGAAAATGGGCAAAAGTTATGAAGACAGAACACATAAAAGGAAATAAAATGAGTTCGTAAACATATAAAAAGATGTTCAAACTTATTCAGGTAAGAGAAATGCAAATTAAAGCCACAATAGATATTTTTCACCTATCAGATCAGAAAAGATCAAACACTGATAAAATATGGTGTTAGTTAAGAGTGTAACAAAATGGCACACACATGCTCTGTGTAGAGGACAATTTGGCAAAGCGTATCAACACCACAAATGCATAAACCCTCTGAACTTATACAAATTCCACAATTCCACTCTTAGGAATGTATACTAAAATATACTTGCAGAGATTGCCAAATGACTTTTGAGCAAGGATATTTATTGTAGAACTGCTTATAAGAGCAAAAGATCAGAAATAACCTAAACAACTATCAATAAGTTTCTGGTTAAATAAATTATGAAATGTCCCAGCAATAAAATACTAGGTAGTCACTAAAAGTAATATGCCTATACACTGATACAGAACCATCTGATATATTATACACACACACACACATTTCTCATTGAGGAAACATTGGTTTATAACGTATAAATTTCAGGTGCCCATCATTCTATTTTGATTTCTGTGTAGACTACATGTTCACCCCCAAAGTCTAATTACCATCTCTCACTGTACACGTGCCCCCTTTTACCCGTCACCCTTCCCCTACCCCGTTTCCCTCAACCATCCATCTGGCATACGTTTAAGAGAAAGAAACGAATAGGCTATAATTTGTGTAAAAAATATAAGCACATGCACACACTTATGTGTGCATAAGTACGTATGATATTTCTGGAAGGATACTCAAGACTTATTTTTCTGGGAGGAGAACCACGTGGCTGAGATACAGTGGTGGGAGAGAGACAGAAAGGAAGTGGAAGGCACACGCTATGATTTGCCTACATGACCAGTCTCACAGGGATGGCCCTACATAAAAACTTGCCAAAGTTCATGTAAGAAATATTTATTGAGCACTTACTACGCACTAGGCACTGACCCAGGCACTTGGGATCCATCGGTGAATGAAACAAAGACCCCTCCCCTAGTGGAGCCTTCCTTCCAGCGGAACTGCAAATGTTCCTCACTGATGACTAGCAGGGGGACATTTTGAATTCCACGAGACTTTAATCCACTAGACTCTGGTCTTCAAGGGCAGGGTCCGTTTTTCTTTTTCACCCGTATTTAGAGCCCTGGTAACTGGCACACAGAAGGCATGCAATGATCACTCGCACTAAACTGCTTGCTTAAAAACAAAATGTTCTTTCAGTTCACACCATTCACAGTCCTTACCGCGCTAGATGGCAGGAAAAGAAAATGTTAATTCATGCAATCAGTTGGACAATAAGGCATGTTTTACTTAGGCTCTTATCGTGTACATGTCACATACACAATCCAAAAGTGCATGCATCCCAGATGGCACACACTCATACACAGATCCCTACAGCCTGAACATCTTACTCTACAGGAACTGTGCACAAGGGTCAACAGCAGTAAAAAAAAAAAAAAAAAAAAGGAAAAAAGGAACTCCCCTTTATAACCATTCATTCACATTACATTCCACAGGTGTGACGGGAAAAACCAGACCAGAAATCCAAATTCATGGTCTCTTCAAGGAAGCAGTGCTGTTGAATGACCTTCAAGGGCACATCCAACTTTGGGTAATCTTCAATTCCTTAAGTTTGAATCTAAAATCTGATAATGCCGTATGAACAGAATCTTACCTTTTTTCATATTTCTTATTTCTGATACATGTTTTCTCAAGTACTCTTCTTTTAAGAGGAACTTTTAGCTAGGTTTCTTTAAAAATAAAGTCGTATATTAAAAGCTCAAAGCCATTTTCTAGGTTAATCTCAAAAACATTTTAAAGAGAATCCTCTGGAACAACAAATACCTTACATAGCAGTGGATACTACTAATTCATTGGTTGTGGCTTTTTTGAGCCTCAGTGGAGAATTCTGCAATTTTCTCCAGGCTCTGCAGGAAAGAGTGGTATGATCAAGCACTGACGTCTGGTCGTAGGCACTAGAAGGGTTAGTTAGCAGCAGCAGAACCAGATATTTGCTGTCCATGTCCGATGACATTCTCCAGCCAGTTCTTATTTGTACATAATACACAGTTACAGCTGAAAACAGCAGAATTTGCAAAACTAGATCCCATGAATCAGAAAGGAGCTCACAAATGTGTACAGCTAGACCTGCACTGTATGTCCTTGAGAAATCTAAATTAGTTGCCAGCTGATCAACGTACTTTGCATAAAAATACAAATTTCTAGCTACTCTTGAACTACAAGATCTGGTATCACTGAGCCAGTCACAAGTGGCTATATGTAAGAAGCAGCTGCCCCTTTAGACAAGGCTCTCTGCAAGTGGCAGTCCCCAGTCAGCCAGTTCCCTCATCTGCGGGACCTGCCTGGCCCCTACAGGCATTGAAGTCTGTGAACCTTGCTCTAGCCCACAGGCAATCAGGCCCCACACCTGCTTTTACTCATGAAGTTTAACTGGCACACGGTCATGCCCACTCATTTACATACTGGCCCTGGCTGCTCTCACACTTTACAGTATGGCTGAGTCGCTGAGACACAGATCACAAGGCCCACAAAGCCAGAAATATCTATTATTTGGCGCTTTACAGAAAATGTCTGCCAACCCTTGCTCTTGAGTTTTGATATATGTGATCTGATAGAGATGTCTACTGCACATATTAGTGAGGAAGCCGAGGCTGCATAAAATAATAATGACGTAATGTGACTAATACCTAATAACGTAATGTGATGAACAAGGTCATACAATGTAACAAAGTAATTAACGCTAAATTATTTGATATCCAGATCAACCTAGCAAAAGAATATTGATATCATATTGAAATCATATGTTTGTATTTGTGATGTCCCAAGACTTCAGGCTGCTTCATTCTAGGGGGCCTTAATGACAACAGGTGTAGCAAGCAGCACAAGAAGAAAGAATAGAACTATTTTAAGAAGATTTTTCATATGTCCCTCTCTGGTCAAATCAACTATAACTTAACTTTAAAAAGAAATGATTTAAACTATAAAGACAACGGTTTTCAGGCGGTTTTAATGCCACTGCATCTGGCTACTCTAGTAAGTGGTAATCTTCAAAGGCCAACAGGCTGGTTGGCTACTTTCCTCTCTAACTTTCATCCTAGCACTCTTCTCAATATGGCACCAATAAAGTCCTG